GGGGCCCAAGACTGTTCAACAGCCTCCCATCAAGCATTAGGGGAATTGCCAATAAACCCTTGGCTGCCTTCAAGAGAGAGCTAGACAGATACCTAAAGTCAGTGCCGGATCAGCCGGGCTGTGGCTCGTACGTTGGACTGCGTGCGGCCAGCAGTAACAGCCTAGTTGATCAGGCACTGATCCATCGGGAGGCCTGGTCATGGACCGGGCCGCGGGGGCGTTCATCCCCGGAATAACCTCCAGGTAACCAGGATGCCACCCACACCAGCCTACTAACACCCAGGTACATACTCGCTGCTAGGTGAACAGGAACAGCAAGGAAACACGCCCACTGTTTCCATCCGTACCGGGGTCGAACCACGGACACTCAAATGTGTGAGCTGAGTGCGCTACCGGGCCGGGGTTCGTATGTTGGACTACGTGCGGCCAGCAGTAACAGCCTGGTTGATCAGGCCCTGATACACCAGGAAGCCTGGTTGTGGACTGGGCCGGGGGGGGCGTTGATCCCCGGAATGCCCTCCAGGTAGGTAGATCAACCTGCAGTACGGCAATCGGAAGTAATGACTGGTCTCAGACTGGGCTGTGAGAGTAGGGTAGTAATGACTGGTCTCAGACTGAGCTGTGAGAGTAGGGTAGTAATGACTGCTTCCAGACTGGCTGTGAGAGTAGGGTAGTAATGACTGGTCCCAGACTGGGCTGTGAGAGTAGGGTAGTAATGACTGGTCCCAGACTGGGCTGTGAGAGTAGGGTAGTAATGACTGGTCTCAGACTGGGCTGTGAGAGTAGGGTAGTAATGACTGGTCCCAGACTGGCTGTGAGAGTAGGGTAGTAATGACTGGTCTCAGACTGGGCTGTGAGAGTAGGGTAGTAATGACTGGTCCCAGACTGGGCTGTGAGAGTAGGGTAGTAATGACTGGTTCCAGATTGGGCTTTGAGAGTAGGGTAGTAATGACTGGTCCCAGACTGGGCTGTGAGAGTAGGGTAGTAATGACTGGTCCCAGACTGGGCTGTGAGAGTAGGGCAGTAATGACTGGTCCCAGACTGGGCTGTGAGATGTGGAAAAAGACACTTATGTACAGTTCAGGACATTTATTAAAGGAAACGTTTCGCCACGAGTGGCTTCTTCAGTCCTAATACAGAGAAAACTAAGAAAACATTTATATATATAGTGGCAGGAGTCAGGTGAGGTGACGCGTGGGTAGAGGTGGTAGTAGTAGTAGTAGTAATGGAACTAAGGAGGTGAGGCAAGAGAGGGACCTGCTGGCATCAAGTAACACCAGTTCCCAGGATGGGTAATATCCTCTTGCTTAGTAATTTTGAAATACTGTAACTACCGGATTTTTGCTTTATAGTGCTACTGACAGAAATTAGTGCAGCTTCAATGCATTTTCTCCGTCTTAAGTCGTCTTCTTTAATAACTAGTTTAGCTTCATTGAATTTCATGAGGTGTCCAACATCGTCTCTATGTTGAACACATGCGTTTTTGCGGTCATCATTTCTGCAAGCATTTTTGTGTTCTGCTATTCTATTGTCCAGAGTTCTGGCTGTTTCCCCTACATATACTTTGTCACACCCCCCACATGGTATAGTGTAGATTCCTGCACTTGTGCCAGAATCATGCTTGGGTTTTTGTATCAGGTTCCTAATAGTAGTTGAAGAGCTGGTAGATATTTAGCCAGTTTTCTGTCAAACATTTTTGAAACAGTGGCAACGTTGCTGACCGGTAAAACGATGTAACTTGGATGCTTTTCTTCAATTTGATAGGTGTTGGTCTTGCTGAGGATACGTGTCGCACGTTTCCTACAGTCACGTATGAAGTGTAGGGGAAAGTGCAGTGAACTAAAAGAGTTGGTGATGTATGTACATTCTTCTTCGAGGAACTGTGGACTGGAAATTCTGTAGGCTCTCAGAAAGAAGCCAATAACTACCCCTCTTTTAGTTCTTGTGTCATGGTGAGAGAAGAAATGTAGAAGATCGTTCTTGTAGGTAGGCTTCCGGTAGACTTTAAAAGAGTTTATTTTCCCCTGTGCGTAAGAGAACGTCGAGAAAAGGTAATTGGTTGTCCTCCTTCTCTAGTGTAAAATTGGCTTCTTTCTGAGAGCCTACAGAATTTCCAGTCCACAGTTCCTCGAAGAAGAATGTACATACATTACCAACTCTTTTAGTTCACTGCACTTTCCCCTACACTTCATACGTGACTGCAGGAAACGTGCGACACGTATCCTCAGCAAGACCAACACCTATCAAACTGAAGAAAAACCTCCAAGTTACATCGTTTTACCGGTCAGCAACGTTGCCACTAATGTTTCAAAAATGTTTGACAGAAAACTGGCTAAATATCTACCAGCTCTTCAACTACTATTAGGAACCTGATACAAAAACCCAAGCATGATTCTGGCACAAGTGCAGGAATCTACACTTTACCATGTGGGGGGTGTGACAAAGTATATGTAGGGGAAACAGCCAGAACTCTGGACATTAGAATAGCAGAACACAAAAATGCTTGCAGAAATGATGACCGCAAAAACGCATGTGTTCAACATAGAGACGATGTTGGACACCTCATGAAATTCAATGAAGCTAAACTAGTTATTAAAGAAGACGACTTTAGACGGAGAAAATGCATTGAAGCTGCACTAATTTCTGTCAGTAACACTATAAAGCAAAAATCCGGTAGTTACAGTATTTCAAAATTACTAAGCAAGAGGATATTACCCATCCTGGGAACTGGTGTTACTTGATGCCAGCAGGTCCCTCTCTTGCCTCACCTCCTTAGTTCCATTACTACTACTACTACTACTACCACCTCTACCCACGCGTCACCTCACCTGACTCCTGCCACTATATATATAAATGTTTTCTTAGTTTTCTCTGCATTAGGACTGAAGAAGCCACTCGTGGCGAAACGTTTCCTTTAATAAATGTCCTGAACTGTACATAAGTGTCTTTTTCCACATCTTGTCGGTATCACCATACCATTTCCTCCTGGGCTGTGAGAGTAGGGTAGTAATGACTGGTTCCAGATTGGGCTGTGAGAGTAGGGTAGTAATGACTGCTCCCAGACTGGCTGTGAGAGTAGGGTAGTAATGACTGGTCCCAGATTGGGCTGTGAGAGTAGGGTAGTAATGACTGGTCCCAGATTGGGCTGTAAGAGTAGGGTACTAACACCTGACGAAACCAGTCACAGATATGCATTTAAGTGCTTTTTGGTTCAGCATGTCCTAGAATTTCGTTTTAGCAGGTTTGATGGTTGGGTTTACCGTTGTTCGTTCCAGAATGTTGTAATCTCTCCTGGTATATCTACCTGGAGGGTATTCCTGGGATCACCGCCCCCGTGGTCCGGTTCACGAACAGGCCTCCCGGTGGATCGGAGCCTGATCAACTAGGCTGTTAATTCTGGCCGCACGTAGTCCAACATACGAACCATAGCCCTGCTGATCCGGCACTGACTTTAAGTATCTGTCCTGCTCCCTCTTGAAGGCAGTCAAGAGACTTTTGGTAATTTTCCTTAGGCTAGTGGGAGGCTGTTGAACAGTCTTGGACTCCGAACATTTATGGTGTTTTCTCTTAGTGTACTAATGGCGCCTGCCAAGTCTTTTGCTTTCGTAGGGAGTGATTTCTGTGTGCAAATTAAGGATCAGTTCCTCTAGGATTTTCCAGGTGTAGATTATAATGTATCTCTTGGAATGACATGCATATGGTTGACATGCCCTTGATGTCCTGAGGTGATAAGTAAGACACATATGCAACAGTTTGGTATCTTTATTTCGAAACGTTTCGCCTACACAGTAGGCTTCTTCAGTCGAGTACAGAAGAGTTAGCGGAAACAAGAGAGATGTGAAGATGTAATCAGTCGTGAGGTGATGTGTCTGTTGTTAATGTGTTGGGGTTGGGGTGGGGAGGTTGAGGTGTGTATTCTTGACATGTTGGGGATAATGAGTCTATTATTGATATGATGGGGGTTCATGTGTGTATTATTGACATTTCACGGGTTCGTGTGTCTGTTATTGACATGTCGCCGGTTTTTGTGTTATTAACATAACGAGGGGTCATGTATCTCTTATTGACCTATCGTCGGCGACATCTATTTTTGACATGTCCTGATGTGATCCTCTTCTGGACATGTGGTTGCCCTTCTTAACATGTCTTTAGTTAGTTCGCTTTATAACATGTCTTGAGGTGGTCCGCTTCTTCTTGGCATGTAAGTTTATTCAGGTATACACAAATACAGTTACATAGATTATCATACATAGCAGCATATGTGTAGAGAACTTAGGATACCCCAAAAGAGTCAAAGTGACTTATTTCCAGCGGGATCCTCGTGGTGTCCTAACTTACCTCTTCCCCTCATCCTCTCCTCTTTCATTTACTTGATATAACTTAGCATCGTTATAAGAAATCACAACCATCGTGAGGTCTTTGCGCATAGCGAGGGAGAAGAGGTGTGAGGGCACGCCAAGGAATTATACGAGAGGGAAGTGGGTAAGAAAATGTTAAGGGGTGGGTAGGAGGGAGTGGTTGAGAAGTGAGGGAAGGTGTAAGTTGGAGGGAGGGTGTTGGTAGGTGGGAGAGGCGAGGCGGAAAGGTTGGATAGGAGGGGTGGTGGGGGAATGTCCCACAGGTGAAGGCAGGCATTGTTTACCGGCCAGCGGCTCAGTTTATCCGCGAGCCTTGCTTGAAGCAGCGTAAACAAACTTGACTGTGTGGGACGGAGCCTGAGCGTCGGGTTCGTGGATTACAAGCGTTGGTTATGACCTTGTCCGGCTGCTCTACCACCACTTCATATTACTGTAAACACCACCGCCAGCCATCATCCCACATTAATATTAAGAGAGCTTCTTAGATGAGCTTCACAAGACGCTGTAGTGTGTCCTGGCAGACACTGGTGCGCCGCCGATGGCAACACGAGTGCCTACCTTGAAGCCTTTTTGTTTTCCGTGGCGAGGTGGCACCGAGAGAGGGTAAGGTAGCTGGGCTAGGTTGAAGCTGTCAGTCTGGTGTTTGGGTGCGCGTTGGCACCCTCCAAGCTCCTTTACTCTAGTGTACCCGCGCGCAAGTCTCTGGGCTTCTCTTGGACCTTCTTCAGTTTCCCCGGTGTAAGGTAGTGCGTTACAGGGTATTTCCCTGCCAGGCTGCATGTGTCTTGGCCAACATGCCAGGGTGAGGCCTGGGAGCACCCTTCCTCAGGCTAGGGTGTAGCCTCGTTCACTGCTGAGTGTAAGCTGGTACACAGGGTGATAGCAAGGTGTCTGTGTAACCCATACTTGACAACTGTTATTTATGAAGTGGTCACAAGTGGATTTATTACATCAGAACAATGTTGTGGACGGTGGTAGCCATATTGTGATTAATGTAGTTGACTAGACACTTAATGACCCCTCTCAGTGACCGGTCGTCAGTAACATAGCAATCAGGTGATTACCCCCTCTAAGTGGGTGTTAGTAACATCGTAATGACCCCTCTCGGTGGGTCGTCAGGAACATCGTAATCAGACGATGACCCCTCTAGGTGGTCTCCCTGCCTGGAGGGTAATTCGTGGATCAACGCCCCCGTGGCCCGGTCCACGACCAGGCCTCCCGGTGGATCAGGGCCGCACATAGTCCAGTGTACAAAACACAGCCCGGCTGATCCGGCACCCTCTTGAAGGCAGCCAGGGGCCTATTGGTAATTCCCCTTATGCATGGTGGGAGGCTGTTGAACAGTCTTGGGCCCCGGACACTTATGGTGTTTTCTCGTAGTATACCAGTGGCGCCCCTACTTTTCATTGGGGGTATTTTGCATCGCCTGCCCAGTCTTTTACTTTTGTAGAGAGTGATTTCTGTGTGCAGATTCGGGACCATTCCTTCCAAGATTTTCCAAGTGTAGATTATGATATGTCTCTCCCTCTCGCCTGCATTCCAGCGAGTACAAGTCAAGTGCTTCCAAGCGTTCCCAGTAGTTGGGGTGTTTGATGGAACTTATATGTGCAGTAAAGGTTCTCTGTACACTCTCTAGATCGGCAATTTCACCTGCTTTGAACGGAGATGTTAATGTACAGCAATATTCCAGCCTAGAGAGAAGTGATTTGAAAAGGATCATCATTGGTTTGGCATCTCTCGTTTTGAACGTTCTCATTATCCATCCTATCATTTTCTTTGCAGTGTGATCGTGGCACTGTTGTGATCCTTGAAAGTGAGATCCTCGGACATTACCACTCCCAGGTCCCTCACATTATTTTTTCGCTCTGTTGTATGATCCGAGTTTGTAGTATACTCAGTTCTAATTATTATTGGTCGTAAGTAACATCTTAATCAGGTAATGACCCCTGTCAGTGGGTTGTCAGGAACAGTTTAATTAGGTGATGACCCCTCTCAGTGGGTCGTCAGTAACATCGTAGTCAGGTGACGACCCCTCTCAGTGGGTCGTCAGTAACAATTTAATCAGGTGATGACCCCTCTCAGTGGGTAGTTCGTTTGTTTTATACAGAGTAAGCGTTGATTATACATACAAGCCTGGTCCAGGACAGAGTTGTGGCACTAGAAAAACTCTGGAAACCCTTCAAAGATTTATCAGAGGTACCTTAGTGGATAGTCTACTCTGAGGCAGTGAAGCAGTTGCCCTCTGGACGATTCAGCGGCCCGTCCGCATCTTGCGCTCTTTTTTATCAACGAATAAAATTCTGTGCGTTTCCCTGGCCTGCGTTCCCCGGCCTGCGTTGCCTGCCTTGCGTTCCCCGGCCTGCGTTGCCTGCCTTGCGTTCCCCGGCCTGCGTTGCCTGCCTTGCGTTCCCCGGCCTGCGTTCTCCGGCCTGCGTTGCCTGCCTTGCGTTCCCCGGCCTGCGTTCTCCGGCCTGCGTTGCCTGCCTTGCGTTCCCCGGCCTCCCTTGCCAGAAATAATACTCTCCTTGCTTATGAATGCTATATCGTTTGGTAAAATAAACTGACGGTCCCTAGTATTTACAACATTAAAAGCAGTCAGAAGGTGTGTATTATCTATACTTTCAGTATTTGCGTGATAGTTGTATTCCATTGTATATTTACTATGTCACTTTTTTTCCTGTATAATTTCCCTACTTTTGAATGATTACAAGTTTACCTGTAGCTACCTGGAGGTCACCCGTAGTTACTTCCGGAGGCTACCTGTAGTCACTTCGGGTGGTCACCTGTAATTGCTGGCGGAGTTTGAACTGACTGGTTCCTCGCGGTATGACGGTGTTAGGTCACTCGAACTTCTAAAAACGTGTACTCGACCACGAATAAGCTAATCAAAATAACGAAATTAAAGAAAAAAATGTCGGTTGTGACACGTCAGGCAACGAGGCGGCTGGAACCAAAAACAAGAATGAGTCATGTTTGAAACATTATTATTACCGAGAGAGGGTGCGCCTTCTTTCTCCCCTCCCCCCCCTTCCCACACACAGGAGCTGTGACTAGACCCCTGCAATCACATATAGGTGTGTACACCCCCCCACACACACAGCAACAAGGGGTCACAACTGGAAGTTGAAAACTCAGGTGAGTCACAGTGATGTTACGAAGTATTTCTTCAGTCATAGCGTCGTCAGGAAGTGGAACAATCTGGAGAGTGATGTAGTGGAGGTAGGATGCATACATAGCTTTAAGAAAAGATACGATAAAGGTCATGGAGCAAGGAGAGAGTGGACCTAGTAGTGACAAGCGAAGAGGCGGGGCCAGGAGCTGTGAATCGACCCTTGCTACCACAAATAGAGTACACTCGCTTTCTCGTGGTACCGCTGGTTATAATTATAACCTTAATTTTTGAAGGGGTGGACTGGTAAGCCAGTGAAAGGCCTCGGTCAGATGACCAAAAGCTTTACCTGCGGGTCATATAATGACTAAGACCCGCGTCAGGAAACACTTGTCCTGTTTCCTGACAAATCTTACCTAACCTAACCTGGTGTGCGGTCGGCCACACATTACTCCTTAGTCAAGAGCCTAGTGCTTCACCAGGGTTATAGTAGAGCACCAACAGCTTGGCTGGTCTCAGCCACCGGCCCTTGCATAGCCGACGGAGAATCAGTCCTACGCCACTCCTTTGCGCTGAATGACTCACGCGGGTTTAGCCCTTCATAAAACAATACAATACACCTCGAACATTCAATCTGTGATCGCGAGTCAAGAGAGACAACTGGTCAAGCACTGGTGTTGTAAGATCTTCCTGACGACCCACTGAGAGGGGTCATCATTTGACGCTGTTACTGACGACCCATTGAGAAGGGTCATCATTTGACGCTGTTACTGACGACCCATTGAGAGGGGTCATCATCTGAAGCTGTTTCTGACGACTCAGTGAGAGGGGTCATCATCTGACGCCGTTACTGACTACCCATTGAGAGGGGTCATCATTTGACGCTGTTACTGACGACCCACTGAGAGGGGTCATCTGACTATGTTACTGACGACCCACTGAGAGGGGTCATCTGACTATGTTACTGACGACCCACTGAGAGGGGTCATCATCTGATGCTGTTACTGACGACCCACTGAGAGAGGTCATCATCTGACGCTGTTACTGACGACCCACTGTGAGGGGTCATCACATGATAAGCAGCTGTCCCAACAGTAGTCACATCAGTAATCATAGCCGTAGTAGCAGTAGTTGTAGCAACAATAGTCATAGCAAAAATAACCACAGCTGCAGAAATAGCATCCGCAGTATAATCCATCTCGACAACAACACCCGCTGACACAGCAGCATCAGCACAGCAGTGCAAGCAACAGAGGTGCGGCAGCATGGTCGCTTTTCTATACATGTGACTGGTGACCACAAGCAGGTGTATGGGATGTTATATGTTGGTGAGTGTGTGTTAACCAGCACACCTGTGTTTCCTAACAGCTGTTAGCAGTAAGTCTTGACACCTGTACATGCTTCATCTTGTTACACTACAGCTGTTTAAGGACCTTGAACTACAGTTGTATAGTAACCTTGGTACGCTACAGCTGTATAGTAACCTTGGTACACTACAGCTGTATAGTAACCTTGGTACACTACAGTTGTATAGTAACCTTGGTACACTACAGTTGTATAGTAACCTTGGTACACTACAGTTGTATAGTAACCTTGGTACACTACAGTTGTATAGTAACCTTGGTACACTACAGTTGTATAGTAACCTTGGTACACTACAGTTGTATAGTAACCTTGGTACACTACAGTTGTATAGTAACCTTGGTACACTACAGTTGTATAGTAACCTTGGTACACTACAGTTGTATAGTAACCTTGGTACACTACAGCTGTAGAACCTGATATTTAAAGTGTCTCGATGGTACACAAGTCGATGTGCTTTACAAAAGAAATTGTCACCATTTACAAAATTTTCTCCACGAGCAGATTATAAGCGGTCCCTCGAACTGCAAGTAATGTACGTAGGCCACGTTCCAGTCCAGGTGCATTTTCACGACCCAGGAACGCTACACCGTGCAAGATGGATGCCACAAGTTAACATATGCCAATATGATGTCTCTTATTTCTTTCTCATTTTAAAATGATGATACTCTACCAGACAGGAATGAAAACATTTGGTAACGAAATAAGAGAATAGGGGAGGCTAGAACCCATGGTAGGTGAATCCTACCATGTGTCCTGCCTGTTGTTACTATTTCATGAGTTGTTTTGTAATGTGTGCAGCACGCCGCCGCAACACACTCATGTTCCGGAAGCCTCACTGTTACAAAAAGCTAAATATACTCTGTGCATGATAAAGACAAAGAATTAGACACGTGTGCAACATCTGGGTGTCTTTATAGACGTTTCGCCATCCAGTGGCTTTAGACACGTGTGCAACATCTGGGTGTCTTTATAGACGTTTCGGCATCCAGTGGCTTTATCAGCACAAGACAAGGATATTATGTGAAGAAAGTAGGACTTTATACAAAAGATGAGATGCTTTTCACCATCTCCAAGACTGAGGGACTGATTATCTTGTCTTTTTGTATATGGTTCAGACTTTCATAGCATCCTGTCTTTATATTGATAAAGCCACTGGATGGCGAAACGTCAACAAATAAAGATACCCAGATGTTGCACATGTGTCTAACTCCTTAAATATTCTCTACGCCGAAACTTAATTACTATCTGTTACCAGGGACATTTCCCCGA